GATTATTAAAAAGTTGTTAAGTTTTTAACGTTAGTATGGTACTTTTTTCAAACAGAGTTGCGTTTTAATTATGTTCTAGTTCATGCTTTAATATTTCAGTTGCGTTTTTATTCAGTTCTAGTTCGTGTTTTAACAGCCCGAACGTAGCGACATCTTTCTTATTTTCAACCACTGCGCAGTTTATGTTCGTTATGTCTGACTATTAAATTGATCCTTGCTGAGGTTCTCTTTCTTCTAAGGGGTGTTGATTAAACACGAGTGTTATAAAACTTTATAGACATGGCTCGAATGTAGCTAATGAAGAAGATATCATTCATATAGATGATAAAACAAAGTGTAACACTCGAAGTATGATGTACCAGTAACAGAACAGTTATTATTCATTTCTGCTAAAATCTTTAATGAAACATATTTTATACAATAAAGTTTTACCAGAATAAAAAATATTCGAAGACTGAATTTGAATGAATAATTTTCTTTCACTTATGAAAGCGATTAACTTCCTTAATCACAAAAAAATTATAGCAATAATAACAGTTACTCGAAGGATATTTCATCTTGTACTTTCCATATGTTGTTAGATAAAAACCGTATTTTTGAATTTTGAAATTAAGAAGAATTTAAAAAAAAGAAAAACAATACGTGCTGTTTTATCATTTTTCTCAACTTGTTGTTCTTGGTAAGTTCCATCAAGAAGTCCTCCACGAAAGCAAATGTTTCTGAATACTAGGTCCAGGAGTTCCCTTGTCTTCCGGGTTGAGTTCAAAATTACAAGGCTACAGAGTTGAGCATTAGTAGTTGTAACCAAAAAAGGTGGGTCGGCTGTTCAACGACAGTTATAAAACATAGCAAAAAAATCTTGTTTTATGGAGTTAATCGTTTTAGTAAATGATTATTAATGGTGATTTCTAAACGTTTTTCTAAGCTTTCATTTTCCAAACGTTTCTCAAGAACGAGCTGACTAAAATTTTTGAACTATTTTTAGGTTTGGTGAGAAAAATTAACCCTTTCATCAGTCAGGACGCTTGCATAAATGCTTATAAGAGACTCTTCAATTTTATTATTCTGTTTAATCGAAATTTGAATGCTGAACATTAATGTTTGTACCATTTAGATCAGCTACAGTCTTCTTGCCACTCAGAAAAAGAGTCTCTGTTCTACTCTCACATGAAATTGCGTTAACTAAAAACTTCTTATAATTGAAGAACCGTTTTTTCTCGAAAGGATTTGTAATAAAATACTAGCATTTCTTGAAACTCACAAAGAAAATATCCTTAACACTAAACATACCATAACCATACCATATCCAGAGATGCCACCTGCTCCGGACAAGCCATAATAATTAAAAAAGCGGTAAATAACTACAAGGTAAATTTTGCAAATATTTGATTATTTTTGCTTGTTTTTTAAAAGACATAGCATGACTTAAGTACTAAAGAGAGGTGAATTATGTAAGCCTATGAATTATTTAGAAATAGTGGTGGATAAAAATCTATGAAATTGAATTTATTAAACCAAGAATCACAATTGTTAAACTACCACTTTAAAATATATATTTGCTGTCGGGAGCAAGTTGGCATCTCTGCATATCCTTAACACTAAACATACCATGACCATAACCGGTTAAATGACCGTTTAAGAATTTTCGCATCAAAAATGCGCTTATCATCTTATCGTTTTTGCACATTGGACTTCATGACTTTTTCCAACAATTATATACACTTGATATATATTGTTTTTTGGTAGAAACAGTTCTACCACGAATTGGTACCACGAATTCGAATTGGTAGAAACAGTTCTACCACAACCGGTCATTTGACCGGGTAAATAATTTACTGCTTTTTAAGGTGATCGGATCAGAAATGACGATGTAATGCGTGTTCAACGTATTGCATTCGATGAGTTGCACATTTCAGCAAAGGCTTTTGCGTAGTGGGTTCAAACAGAATAACTGTGAATTCAAACTTCAAGAAAGTACCTAAGATTTCAGATTGGCATTTTTTGTGCGCGAAAAAGTGACAAAAACTAAATGTTTTGGCAAGTAGCTTGTACTCTCTTTTGATAGCTTTACTTCGTTTCTAACTAAGTGTTAGTTTTTACCCAGAAAAATGTCGAAACAATCAAGACCGCACAAGTTCTTAGAAAAAATTGTTAATTATAAGAATAATTGTAAGAATTATAATTCTTATATATTTTTATGATTATAAAAATGAACATAAGAATTCTAATTCTAATATATTCTTAGAATTACAAGAATAATTATAAGAATTATTGAAATAATAATAATTAGAAGAAATATGTTTGCGGTAAATGTACAATGGAAACACGCAATGAATTAAAATTCTTATTCTTTGTGTTTGTAATACATAAAAATTGGCAATATACTATTTTGTATAATTATAATAAAGTTTTTTTTTAAGTTTATTTCATTCCTAACAATTCGACGTCATATTTCATACATTCAATCAAGAAACAAAGTTCCCGGCTATGGTAGAATATTAAGTGTTGGTCTGTTGAGTGTTAAATGATTCACTTTATTGATGTTTTAACATTCAAAATGTGCAGTGCTTAACAATGACAATTTCATTTTCTATCACACTAATAAACTGATATTTTGCGGTATTTATTTGTCTGTTTTTGACCTGGATAATATATTTGCATGCCCCGAAGAATTGAAGCCATTTAAATCTTTCTCTTGGCGTGAAATAAACAGTCCCAACAGCAATAAGATATCCCCCCCTGAGAACACAATGGATTCATAAATTAGCTTCTTTTCCTTCGCCCGTCAACGAATAAAGCCAATAAATCGCCTAAGAGCGAGCCAAACCTAAAGGGATGGTTGCATTTAATTGTTGATCTAAACGTCGCGGAAGACCGGCCATTGTTTTTCACCTGTTGGCATAAAGTGTTGGGGCCGCCAAAATGAAGCTCGCCTTTTATTGATGACTTGTTGACTCTTTAGGGAGGGAAGGAGTGTTCTTCTTGTTCCGGTCAATTTGTCAGGGAGGACAGGGAAGTGGAATAGAATGCAGGAATGAAGACCATTTTTTCTGAAGTGAATTTTCAAATGACCGTTATTTCCATCTTGGTTATGAAATGCATGCTTGGCATCGTTAAACGCCTCAACATTTCAAATCATGGGTTGCTGTCTCTATTGATGTTTGTTCGTCAGATTGATTTTCATATCATGCGTGTTTCAAGACGTCGCGAAATACTTTAGCATTCATATTTATATTGAAATCACCGTGAAGCTAGTCATTGCGCGTTAATAACAAAAAGAATATAAAAGTACTTAAAATTATTGTTATTTAAAAACATGCTGGCTAGTAAAAATGAAAAGAATAACAGCAGTGATCGGTATAGCAACGCATGCGCACTGTTTACTATTACTCTTGAACACAGTTGAAAAGTGACTGGAAGCCATCAAATCTAAACCAAGGCTCACTTTGCCAATGGGTAAAACACTGTATCACTTTCAAAGCACTAAATTCCTATTCCAATGTTTCATCATAAACCTTTAATTATTATTAAAAGAAAAAAAAAAGCATCATAAGGAAAGTTGCATTGCTTCTATTGAAAGTCCATTAATAGCCGTTGGTAGCGAGATAAAAAATTGCGAATGAATCACATTGCATAATAGTTTCCTTACACTAGAGTTTTTTTAAACGTATTTTCTCTATGTACACTAAATGAGGATGTGACAACAAATATTTTCGACATTCAGTGGAGATTGTCAACATTGTTATTTTTTTCTTTCAGTTCCTATTTCATTCACACATGAATTATTTTCTTTAAAAGCAGACATTTTAAACTCAACGCAATTCCAAATGAAGACGCTGAATTTGTAGTTTTGCTCCGATTAACAAACATAATATCTTTCAACAGTAACCCAAGAAATATCAAGGAAAAATAAATGCAATTTTTACACTCAAAATAAGATCATAAATATTTTTTTAGTCATTTATTTATTTATTTATTTTCTTATTATTCCCCTACTGACTTGAAATCATTTGTAAGATGCATTATTATTTGAAAGTGTTCATTTGACTGAAATCCCTTCCAAAAATTAAATTTCTTTTAACACTACATCTTTCATTTGCAGCAGCAGCTGTCCAGTCCATTTGTTATCCACAACTAAAAGACTGACTATATATATGTTACCGGCAAAGTACGAGACGCCGGCATTCTATAGAATGCCTGGGCATTGTATATAATGCCAGATGTTTTTAGGAAAGGTATAAGATATGAGAAGCATTACATACTTTCCCTAGGCATATTATATAATACCTATACATTCTATAGAATGACAAATGCTAATTAAGCAAAGTATAAAAAAAAAGTCCTGATGAGGTTATTATGCAAATGATGTGCATTTTAAAAATGTTATTCTGGAAAAAAAATGAGAGTGCCATTTCAAAATGCGTAAAAAAAAATGAGAGTTGTAATTTTCATAAAAAATTAAGAAATTAACCTACTTGTTGCAGCATGAAAGGTTTGAACGACATTTTGACGAATCGGAGATGTGTTTATATATATATATATATATATCACAACCATTAGGTGTATTTCTCCATCTTCGCAATAATAAAATTTCTTGTCATATAGAACAGTTTTTTTTTTATACAAACCGTAAATTATTCACTTACAATACTAAAAAGAGCTCTATACACTATAACTATATACAACAGAGTGCCCAAGACAAAAGAGATTAAGGGGGTCATAGTGCATGGGGCATCCCTTTTTATCGTAACTCATTCCTAAAGTCTTTTCCAGAGAATAAATTCCGGGCCTGCATTTTAACCCCACATTTTGATTGTTTGCGAAACGTTTTTATCGACAAGCATAGTTAACTAAAAATCTTTAGAAAGTTTAAGATTTTCTATTTAAAAAAAATTATTCAGATTATTTTTAGTCAGGATAATCTGAATCTCTGCAACAAACGAATCTCACTTTTATTTGTGTTTATTTCCTTTTTAATGTTATGTTTATTGTGTGAACAGCTTGTAACTGCAACCGTCACGCACGTCGATGTCGTTTCAACATGGAACTGTATAAACTATCTGGTCGGACGAGTGGGGGAGTGTGTCTGAAATGTCGACACAACACTGCTGGTCGACACTGTCACTACTGCAAGGAAGGATACTACAGGGACAACACAAAACTCATCTCGGACAGAAAAGCCTGCAAAGGTAATTCTCATCACGTTTTTTAACTATTTATTCACTTAACTTATTTTTCCTTTGCTCTTCTTATCATTATTATATTTTTTTTAAAAAAATTAATAGCGATAAAAAATTGTTTTCGAAGTCAAAATTCTTACTGGAATAAAAAGAAATTTCAAGAATTAAAACAATTCTTCATATTGTTTTTTTTTTTTTTAAATCAACTTCAATAAAATTTGCATTTTAATCATTTTTTAAAAAAAAATGGAAATAAAGCTGTTTTCAATTGAAAAAAAAAGAAATTACGCTTTTTATAAAATTTAAAATAATATTTTACTACAATTTTTAATGATAGAAACTACAAATAGAAATAAGCATTTTTTACGGGATACTTTTCTATTAACTAGTTTTCGTAATTTAATTTTGAATAAGAAATATAAAATTTTTGAAAAACTTGTTTAAGAAATATGTTTCCTTTAAAAAAATAATTAATTAAAAGGCATAATTAATATGATTATAATAGTATAGATAATTTAATATGGAATAAAATTATAATAATATAATTAGTAATGGAAAAATTAATTATGGAAAATACAAACATATACAAGCATTTTTTATATCATACTTTCCTATTAGCCAGAATGTCCAAACCGAATCACCTAGCGCTGTAAAGATCAGCTTCACCAAAGAGTTGAGAAAGAAAAAAAACTTTCAAAAATGCCTCATTTTGAGATGCATTCTTAATTCTATAAATGATGTGTGTGTAATACGCCATTGATTGGCCCCTTTTTTTTTAAATAGTCCTGTGCCGCGTTTAAAAAAAATTTAGTCACGAAAAATAAAAATCACAAAAATAGATTTCACCCTTCCAATTCCAGTGTTCGCTTTTGCAAACGCTTATGAAAAATGATGTTCCGCGTTCGGTGGCCCCTCGAGCGTCAAAGAAGAAAATCATGACTCTTTTTTCGGGAAGCGTTTAGCTTCGCTCATCAAAATAGACGCGTGAAATAAAAGAGTTTTTAATTCATTTGAAATGGTCATTTCCCCATTGCATGTGGGAAGTGCCCTTTCTCTATACAGAAATGCCATAAAAATCCTCCTTTACCACGGATTTCATCTTTGATTTCAGTTTTAGACGTCATACATCTTCCAATCACAATAAAGCCCTACACCTTTATAAGTAGTAAAAAAAAATAGTCTTTATTAAATAGTTATTATACGTCATCCACCTTTTCTGTTTCCAATTGTAAGGCAAACATATGTTTTAGTGGTTTAAATGGGTAATAAATCAATTTTTGGCAAATTCTGGACATCGATTGTGAACAGTTTTAGATCCAGTCCCTGCACAAATTACAAGACGCACTGTAAGATTCTATGTAATGCAGATCGGTTTCATCCGAGTGAAAACAATACAGCTGTATAGATCACGTGATAATTATAATTTTACATAGAATCATACAGTGCGTCTCATAATATGGCCAGGGGCTGTACTTCGACTTCTTTTTTGTAGAAATAGGTAAAAAAGAATCATAAATATTTGATTTCTCATTCTTTTAAAGACAATCTTCTTTTTTTCGGTCTGAAAACGAATGAACGAACGTGTTTCGTCAGTGTTGCCATCCCCCATTTCCAAACTAATTCATCGTTTATTCCTTCCCTCAAAATTCCTCCGATTTCTTTAAATAACTATAATCGTCTAGCTTTCTTGCCATAAAAGCACAATACTACAGAAATCTCTTAATTAAATAGGAACTTCATGACCGTTCAATAAATATGATAAAGTTTTAGAGTGTAGCGAAATAAAAGGGATTTTGTTCTGTGCATTCTCACAAAAAAAAGGGTTTTTTTTTCACGAGAGACCGCGCATGGGATTTAAGGGGATTTACTACCACTGATTGAAAAGGAACGATTTGCTGCATTTAATTGGTGTTACACATATGGATACCATTTTTTTTTTCCTCCTCGGTTAGAAAACGATATTGATACCACTGAGTTTCGTACTACTGGTAGCATATCTATTACAAATGAATAGGAGTAAAACTATTATCTATCTCTTTTATTCAACCTAGTTTACGACATCGAACGTTTAAAGGGCAGAATAGTTTTACTGTCCCTGGTCAAATTATTCGACGCATTATAAGATTCTATGTAAAATCTCAATTATCAGGTGATAATATAGAACTTTATTGTTTTTACGCAACTATTTGCACTTATTTACGTTCGTGTAATAATTGGTTAACATTGTAATGCAATGCGTTAAAAATACAGTAGAATCCCGATTATCCGAGTTAATGTGGACCACGACAAACTCGGATAACTAAAAAACTCGGTTAAAACGAAGAGTATAAAAAAAGAAAGAAAAAGAGTTGGTATAAATGTAATATATTTAAGAAATATAAAATTTATACGAGTATACCACATATACTTCCTATTATTATTAAAAAGCTTACTTGAAAGAACTTAAAAAAGTATACTTTGCGAGAATTAAAGAGTTTTTACTTAAAAAAAGTCCTTAATCGTTTTTTGTTTTACATAACTTTGGTGCTTTTCTGCAGCAATGTTTCGCCATTTTTTTGGGATAACAGGAAGGCTGGTGTCGCCTCTTTTTGTTGTTCTATGTATTCAGTAGCATTTTCGACAGCTTTAAGTTCATCTGTGTGAGAGATTTTCATATGTTGATTTTTATCGTCACTGCCTTCATCATCTTCGCTAGGTTCATTTTCATTATTGACGATATTAGCGATCATTTCATGGGATCAAGTTGTTGGATTTTGTTTTCCCGAGTGTTTGGAAGATAAAATTCAGATTTATTTTTCAAATTTATGCGGTATTTTTAAAAATAAAAAATAAACTAGAACGAAAATATCATTAAAATATTTGATAGCTCGGTTAAAGCGGAAACTCGGATTATCGGGACCCTACTATATATACAAATAGGAAGTATATGAAAAATCTCCTGATAAAAAACCCATTACATGTATGTTTAAATATAAAAGTATTGCCTATAAACTCTTGCAAAACATGCAATTATTGAAAAAGTACAGTGCGTCTTATAATTTGATCTAATTATTATAATATATTAATACAATGCTTGATATAATAAATATTCTATATTTATGTAATATATCTTATCTTATCGTTAAATTTATATGATATATCATCTCATTTAACCCTCTGATACACCCACGTGAGCAAGTGCAAACCGCGTTAAAAACAATAAAAGCTGTATAGTAGTTTAAGATTTTATATAGAATCTCATAGTGCGTCTATTAATATGGCCAGAGAATGCAATTCAGAAACCCAGAAAAGGACATAAATGTTGCAACTGTGAAATGTAACTGAATTTTTCTCCTTATTAGTGTCACAATAAGCCAGTTGATGCATGTATTGATTCTTCAGAATAAATATTTCAGTTGTGACTCACTCTCCCCTATCCTGTCAACAATGTACTGTCAACAGGATGAAAGGGATTCTTTACCGGACTTTGGAATGTCCGGCACGTCTCTGCTGGTCACTTCAATCAACACTTCGGGACTGAAAGGGAGGGGAAGTCCTTTTTGGTTTTGCTATGGAGCACGAAAGAATGGTCCTCTTAATGATGGAATTCTTCCTCCCTTCAAAAGGCAAATCAGTTGCTGATTAATCCTTTATTGATTCTAAAATGCTCCCTCCCCCCATTCCTTTCTAGAGTGTTTCTGTTTTTAGAAAATAATACTTTGCCACAAGCTGTGATAGGGATAACTATAACAACACTAAACTAAAGGCGCAAAAAAGTAATTAAATTCTTTTGTCGCAGATTAAAAAAAAGTCCATAATCTAATGATTTGACTCTGACATACAAGCCGTGATGGTTCGGGCGATAGAGTGTTCGCCTTCCAATGCGGTGAACCGGGTTCGACCCCTGCGATGGCTGGTAGATACAAATTCAGTATCCGGCTTGCAACGACCACAGTGCTGACGTCAAATATCCTCACTGTTGCAGACGGATCATGGGTTAGAGTCCCTTTGCCGTCAGGCTAATCGTGGGAGGTTTTCGCTGTCTTCCTCTTCATGTAACGCAAATGCGGGTTAGTTCCATTAAAAAAAAGTCCTCCACGAAGGGTAAGTATATTTACTATATTGATAGACATTGATAGTGATTGACAGAGTATGTATTGATACAATATCAGAAAGCACTCTGTTTTACGGATATAATCGTGTGTGCTGATGAAAAGATTATATCTTTTTTTTTTTCGGTTTCTTTCCCCGTATTTTGAATAAAATTTCATCCTTTTTTTTTTAAACTGTTGTTTGTTATTTTTTTACTTATTATTTCCCCCTTTTTCATATGTCTTTAATTTTTCTTTGTTTTATTCTTCATTTTGAACTTATCTAATGGGTTCTGTTTACTTGCAGCTTAAGCGCAATAAATGAAACTTATTGTTTTTCTTAACTTTCTTCGTGTTTTCTTGTATTTATTTATTTATTTAT